GAGTTAACCCTCAGCCCGCCATAAGTTTCTTGATTTTTACACAGAGTGAACTATTATATGACTGATTCAGATGAGATCGGGCGCATTCAGGGTGGTATGGCCATAGATTATATGACTGATTCATAAACTTTTCTTATTGTTATTTAAGTTTGTAAAAAATTTTTTACAATGTGTGATCTATCATTAATCTCATGTTATGTATTCATTTCAGAAATATTTTTTCTAAAATTCACTGTCTGCATCTTATATCTTTCACATTTCAATATTTGTCTACAATTTTTAATTTGCTATATAATTATTGATTTTCAATAAAGTAAAAATTAGTTTAAAAAAAAAAGTCTCCAAAGTGGAACTAAAAGCATGCTAGTGCGACCAGACCATAGTGAAATGACAGAGGTGTCATGGTTTGGGATTTTTGCAAGGAGAACAATGTAATACAGGACACATTTTATAATATTTTATAATGAATCACCCAAGAATCGTATACAACAAGTACAGGAAACCTGTCCGCACACTACATACTAGAGACTCTTGCTGAGGGTCTGGATCCTAATATCATGTATAAGTCTAGCTGAAAACCTAGCGTTCATCACAATACCTCCCACAAGTCCAACTGGAGGCTTAGAGCCCACAAGCCTCCTGCAGGGCCGCTTCATGGATCTGTGCTGGAAAGGCCCAAGGGTCAGTGGTAGAAGCTAGAAGGTCTGTGCTAGTAGGATGAAGGATCTGTGCTAGCAGGCTGAGGGATCGGAACTGGAGCCAGGAAGCAATGCTCAAGGTAAGGACCAGAGCTCCCCCAAAAGTACCAGCGCCATCCTCAGCACCAGTGAAGTCCCGAGCTCCAGCAATGAGGAAAGCTGAGTTCCCATCAGAAAAGCCAGTGCATGGGGCCGGGGAGATGGCTCAGTGGAGTAAGCGCTTCCCTGGCAAGCGCAAGGGCCTGAGTTCAATCCCCAGTTCCACCAAAAAAAAAAAAAAGAAAGAAGAAAGAAAAGTAAAGAAAGAAAGAAAGAAAAGAAAAGCCAGTGCAATAAACTTCTTCATGAGGCTGAGCAGTGCACCATCTTCCCCTCTGGAGCCAGGAAGAGATGCTCAAGATGAAGACCAAAGCTCCTGCATCAGTAAAAGCAGGATAACAAGGTCCTCCAGCAGAACAGCCCAAGAGAACTAGCAGCTTCCAACAGCTTCTCCAAACAGCATCCCTAACAGTATTTTGGCACCTTCTCCTTTTCTGCCTTTTATGCTGCTGGACACAACCCTCAGGTGGGCCTCCCACACCTGGCACCATGCTAGTTTAATTGAGCTGGATGTAAGAAGTTGGCCACCAGCTACCCACCACAAGAGGTTAGGGTGCAGACAGGCATTACAGAGCTTTATAGGCCATGGTAAGAAGGAGTTGGAGGGTATTTGTTAAAAAGAAGGGTGCAAGTTTGCATTAGGAGGATCACCATTGGCAATATGACAGCAGGAAAATTAGGAGAAACAGACTGGAATCTTAGGAAGCTTTTTCAGGCAAGTTTCATGTAAGATCAAAGCTCTGAAATGAGAACAAGATCTAGGCTTCCATACAGTGAGTGAGACACGGGGTTTCTGGTTCAGGGGCTTTGTTAAAAGGGTCTAAAAAAAAGTAGATTTGAGCTGGGGAAGATATCAGAAATCAGGTTACATTTTGTGCATTTGAAGATGCAAAATAAATAAATTGAAGAAATCTGTGTACAGCAAATGGGTCTATAGGACAGGATCAAGGTGTAGGACAGGCTGTGAAAGGTTTGCTCCTAAGGTCTTAGGTGTGGTGAGGTCGTCTGATGTAGTGTCTAGTCTCACATGTTTTATGCTTGGCAAGAACCCAGTGTTATTTCAGGGGTTTTAGATTCTTACCCAGGAAAATATACTACATCCACAAACAAAATTGTATGACTGAGGTTGGGGTCTAAATCTGTTAGAGTGCTTGCCTCGCATGTGTAAGGCCCTGGATTCAATCTCCAGCACCAGCACCCTCCCACAGGTATGACTGTGATTTTCAGGGGATTTGTTTCAGATCCGCTGAAGCCCAAGCATGGTAGGCCTGTATCAGTCAGCTTTCAGGGTTTGAGAATTACTGATGCATCTTGTTGGAAACATTCATGATTTCTATCCCAAGAGATTTTGGTTCAACAAATCTGCAGTGAGGGGTGGGATTTTTAGTAAATAACTATTTGAGTGGTCTTAGAATTAGATTTTGAAGACCATTGATGTAGGGGCTCATAAACCTAAAGTTAAGAATCTTGCAACTAACCAGATCAGTATCACAAGAGGAAAATGATCCACTTGGCATCATTCTTTTCCCTCTCATTCACTTTCACTCCTCTGTTAATACTAGGAGCTGCTCTAAAAGTTGAAGATACAGAATAATTAAAACATGCCAGAAATTTTATCTTTCATGGAGTGTTTTCCTTAATTTGGTATGAAAAGTAAACACATTAATAACTGCTTTGGAAAATAAACCAGAAAAGGGGAATAAAAAATACTGGAGGTAGGAGGTTATTTTACCATTTTAAAAGGGTGGCCAAGAAAAGTGTCACAGAGAGGATAGCATTTGAGCAAAGAGCTGAAGGAGAGCGAAGAGTATACAATGTGCAGAATCTAGGATAAGAGTGTTTCAGGCAGGAGAGAACAGCTTCCAAGTTGTCGTTGGGTTTAAGTTATAGGAGATTGCTCCAGGGATAGAGTAGAGGACTACAGTAAGTGAGGCTCCACTGCAGAAGACGAATGATTGGCGTGACTTACAGGAGTGAATTGCAGCTCTGCATACATCTTCTACTGGAACTAACCCCTTACTGAGTCACTATGCTGGCCCGCTACCTCCAGGACCACATTTCTCACTTGAGTAAGAATAGAAATGTAAGGAGACACAATGTCCTGGGTGAGAGAGGGAACAGGCTATGCTTCAGGGCAGCTGTGCATGACCTGAGCTAGGAGCTCTTCTGGGGTATCCCGTGCTTCCGCAGTTGGCCCAGAGCAGATCCCAGAGGTATTCCCAACCAGAGATTTTTCAAATTTTTGTTATTGTGGAACAAAACAAACCCCAAACCTGGCATAGAATGCAATGAGGAAAGTATGAGATGGTTCTCTGGAAATGACCGGGAAAATTAAATGTGTGACAAATACTGAGTGTCTATTTCTGCAGGAAGCAGAGGATGAGAACACAGAACCTGATGAATATACTGATGGTGATGAGCAGAACCTAGTAAGAGAAAGAATTGCAAAAAAGTTAAAAAAGGACGCCGGTGCAAATGTGAATTCCACTGGAGAGGGAGAAGCAGAGAAATCAGTCAGCCGCAGGTGAGTCAAGGAGTCAACCCTTGTGCTTTGGGGTGTCAAAGTTAATGTCTTTTTACACTTCACCTAAGATTGAGTCCACTGCTCATTTAAAATTTACCATTCATAATGTTTGATAAATATAAGACTTATATAAGTTGGCCTGTTTGGGCGCCTAAAGGAAATCAGCCAGGCTTAAAGTAAATATGTATAGCAATGGTCCACGGAGTGAGTTCCAATGCAGGTCTCTCTCACCTCTTTTTAAAAAAGCTCTCTATATTTTTATTTTTATTTATTTATTTATTTTTGCAGAACCAGGGATTGAACTCAGACCCTTGTGCTTGCCAGGGAAGCACTTATTCCACTGAGCCATCTTCCCAGCCCCATCTCTCTATATTTTTATATCTGGGGTTAGAATTATTTTAGCTATACATGGAAGGTGGTTTTTATTTAATATTAATAACAATAGTAAAGTAATCCCATTGAAGAGATATCCTCAAGTAACTTAGGTGAGTAAAATTTGTCAAAATGGGTAAAGAAAGTGTGGGCCTGAAAATATTTTTGTATGTTATTTTCATGTTTCACTTACCAAATATTCTTCCTAATCTCAGTGATTTCATGAAGGAAATTTCAGTAAATGATGAAAAGTTCATAATCTATTGGTAAGAAATTGTTGATTTTTTTATCTCAACATTTTATTCTCTTGAAATTCAGCTCAAACAAAATCTTTGTGATTGTATTATTATATACTTTGTAGTATACTTTTTTAACAGTGTTTCTTTAATAAAGTAATAGATTTGTTTTCCTTACATGTTCTATTTTAGCGATAAGTTAGATCTAACTACCTGTAAATAATATTTTAAAATTATATTTCTCAACCTCATCTAGAAAAACTTAAAAAGCATTTCTATGACCTAAGTTTCTCAAGGGTTTTCCTTTACATAACCAAAAATAAAAGTGCATCCCAAAAATTTCCACTGAAAGTAGGACTTTTCACATTTAGAAATGGTACTTAGAAGTTACCTTCTTTTCCATAACATTCACCTGCAATTCAGATAATCATGGCTGAATCAATTAATATTGGGCCACTATTGACTGAAGATTTTAATGGTCATATGCATGGAGTTAAAAAGCCTCTCATAGTTAGCTCTGTAACTTTTAGTTAATTCACGAATGTGATCAGGGATGCAGTTGTTCTCTCATTCAACAGCAGGTATTTTCTAATTTTTAAGAATTATTAAGTTTTTAAAGGTAGGTTTATAATACACCAGTATTTTTTAGATTTCTGGTAGATTACCTAAATACTTATTTGCTTTATATTGAAGTTGTCCGTAAGCCCTCAACTCTGTCTCCTTGGCTTTATTTAATGCAATTTTAAATATTTATGTTCCCTGTAATTAACTGTCATAATTAAGCAAAGTTACTTTTTTATGGGAATTACATAAAGCTTATTTATAATGTGCTTTTCATAAACAGCTTTAAGAAATTGGTTAACTAATATAAAAAACATGAAACGGATTGCACTTTTCAAGTGTGTTCACTTAGACAAATGTTTAAGATTCCCTTATTTGTGGTCATGACCCAAAGAGTAAACATGACATTGATAACAAGATGTAGAAATGTGATCCTGATCAGGAGAATGCAGGGAAGTCATTGGAAAGGTTGTTTCATTATGTTTTCATTTTATTTTGTTGAACGTGGATTTAAAAATGGATGACTTCAGGAATTTGTGTGCCATCCTTTTGCAGGGGCCATGTCAATCTTCTCTATATGGTTCCAATTTTAGGTTATGTCCTGCCAAAGTGAGCACCTTTATTTTATTTATTTATTTATTCAGGTGGTACCAGGGATTGAACTCGGGACCTTGCACTTGCCAGGCAAGCACTTACTCCTCTGAGCTATCTCCCCAGCCCATGACCAACATATTTTAGTGTGAAAAATTTCCAAAATCATTAGTGCATTTTATTACTTATTAGTTCAATATACCTTAAGTCTTGGGACTTAATTACATGGTTAAATTCACATACATACACACACTCCTTAAAACAAATTTCTAACAGTTTTTCAAAATTATAATGTAGTAGAAAATATAAGTATATTTAAAGGAAACTCACGTTTAAGTTGAACTATAATGATTATAGTTAGAATATCAGTGTAAAATCATTAATTAAGAATCAGTGCTCCATTGGCCAAGCAATGGCCGTGACTCATCCACATGGCTGACACTGACAAAGGTTCTGCAATCTGAGGTACAGGATCTCAGGATAAATCTTGAGGGGATTTCACTGACCTTATCAGATCCAAAAGCTATAACTCTTGTTGCATAGGTCCTGCTTTTATCTTGGTCTTAACCATTCAGCAGAAAAATATAAAAACAAAGTATAAGAAGTAAAGCCATGGTGTTATGTTGAACTGTAGGGGACTCAGGTCAACAATTTCTGACATTGCCAGGGAAGCGGAAGACCCAATACTATTAGGGGCTACTGGACTCTTTTAGAATATTTTGCTGAGTTAACACACCTATAATATTCAAATAACGGAACTTAACAAAAAAAGGGTATACAGATGAATGTCCATTTTGTATCTGTTTATTGAAAGCAGTTAGGATAGATATATAGTTACATTCTCTTAATGAATAGAGTGATTTGTTCTAATGGTGTTTGTAAATAGGATATCATGTCCGCATCTTGTACAGCAGTTAACCACTAGGAAGAATGTATGCAATGTGTTAATTATTGGAACTGTCCTACCAATTTGATTTGAAACTGTCTCATTGCTATCAATAAAATTATTAAAAAACAACGAAAAAAAATAAATAAAATAGATCACATTCTAGTACACAGGTCATGCTTAAGAAAAAAAAAATCAGATGTGGTGATCTAGTAAAAGTTGACTGCAAGATACCATTGGCCCACAGGATCATTGTTTTGGAAAGAGAATCATTGTATGTGAAAAGATTTACAGATTTACAGAATATATGCCAAGTGTTTGTACAGTGTAAAAAAAAAAAAGAATCACTGCTGTTGATATGTGTGTGTGTGTGTGTGTGTGTGTGTGTACTTTTCCTCTGGTTGTACTTCTACAATTTATTATCCTTGGGTTATTTTCTAATTTGAGCAATAGTATTGGAACCTAACCTAGCTTACCAGTCCTTTAGATAAGGAACTCTTCAAAGTATAATTTTGCTGAACATTTGTACTATTCCTTCCACTGGTAAGGAAACATCTGGACTAGGTTAAAGCCATTGATTGCTATAAATGTTAAACTATAAATAGGTTAATTACATAGCTAGTATTTAAGCTGGAAAAGGATATTTAATGATACAATTTTCAACAAATGTACATATATGGACATCTTTCTCTACTAATATATTTTCAGCAGTGTCTCTCATTGTATCTGTACCCTTGAAAAGTATTTAGGTCTCAGGAGCAAAAAGAATATAAAATCCTTTTTTCCTCTGTTAATATAGAATAGATACCCTTATACCTATTCTGATTTCTCCAAGATTTCTAGGCCTTTGGCCCTTCCCTGCCTTTATTTAATTTTTTTTTACTATTTATTAGTGCATAATTATTACATTCCTTACAGGAAGTTGGTACAGGTACATGATATACTTTAGTTCTTTTTTCATCGCCTTTCCTTCTCCTTCTTCTCTCCTTCCATCTCTTGATCCTCTTCCCACTTAAGAAAAATCTCTTTCCCTATTTAATGATATTATGTCTTTTATTTTGCTCTTTATATTTTGGGTTTCGCATATCAGAGAAATATTATATTTAAGCTTGTCTGTCTGATTTATTTCACTTAACATTATGACCTAAAGGTGCTTGCGTTTTCCTAAACTATCAATTGCACTGTTTTGTATCCAGCACACTCTCTATGCTTTTATCTTGACTACTGGATACTGATCAGAAGAATCGCACAGCCAAGGAAGGTGGTGTTGCGGTAGATTTCTGGTTTCCAGCTGCAGCTGTGCCTCCTAATACTTCTGTGTATTACTCCCTGCAACATTTGCTTCAAACCCCCAACTCTCAGCATGTTACTTAGCCTCATGTGTTATGAAATAAGAGGAAATGTCTTCTACTTGTATTTCTTTGTCTTCCTCTTAACCTTAGACCAGTTCGTACAGCCTTCCCTACTGCTATAAAGGGAAAAGAGTCTCCCACCCATTCAAAAGGACTCTATTCTCTCTTTTCCTTTGTCCCTTCACTGTTTTCTCCCTTCACTGAAACTTCCTCTCTGCTTGTGAATATACTTAAGCTTCTCCCAGCATTCAAGAGTAAAAACAAAGAAAACTACCTCCTTTCCTGTCTCCAACTCCCTTCTAACTATATATCAGGCGTCACTTTTCCTCCATCTCTCCACTGAAACCCCTATCACTTTTCAGCTTTTGTTTTTCTTGGTCCCTCTGCTGTGGAAGTTTTATCTTTCCCATCTTGAAACCCATCTCCTCAGAACCTTGCTATTTAGATTGTGACCTGCTGTCTAGGAGCACCAGCACCACATGGGAACTGTGTATTACAAGTGCTACATGTCAGCCCCCTTTTTGGAACAGAATTTGCATTTTAACACTGATCCCTCAGGTGATCTGAATTTATAGTACATTAACATTTGAGAAGCAGTTTTGAGAATATTAATTTCTACCCCCACTGCAACTAGACTTGGTCAGTTTTATATTATCTTAGCTCCCAAGTTATCAACTTGGTACTCTGTTCTGTAACTCCTTATGGCATATTGATTGTGCCTTTCTCACACTTCTGTTGTAGTGAGTGTAACATTAAGTTTTACTTTTTTTTTTTCTTTGTGTACCCTTATGCTTCCTTGAAGGTAGTAATTGTATCCATTTATGTTTGTGCCTTCATGGTCAAACATTGTAGTATCCCAGATATTTGTATGAAGGAATGATCAAAAACAGTATAGCCAGCCAGGCCTGGTGGCAAATGCCTGTAATCCTAGGACTCAGGAGACTCACCATGAATTTGAGGCCACCCTGGGCATCATAGTGAGTTCAAGGCTAGCTTGGACCACAAAGCAAAACTCTGTCTCAAAAAATTAAAAACAAAACAAAGCAAAACAAGATAACCCTTTTTTTTGATAAAGCACTTTCTTTTCTCCATCCTGTAAGGAACTTGTTTATGTTTTCATGTGGAATTTATTAATTTGCCTATTGAGGATGCTATGGTTTGTGTCTCCCCAAAGCCTCATGTAGTCATGGGGTGGGGACTTCTAGAGTTTGAGATTAACTCATGATTCACTGGGATCATGGGTATTAGTGCTGCTGGGATTATGAGTGTGAGTACTACACCCAGCCTGGGGCAGAGAGCCTGAATGCAATTTCTGGGAGACAGACTTCTCTCTGTAGCCATTGATGCTGCTACTCCTCCATTTTGCTCTCTTGCTCTTTGCTGCCACCATGAAAGGGTTACTCTCTGCCTTGTGCCACTCAGCCTTGGAGTCAACTGAGAATGGACTAAAACTTCCAGTAACTTTGAGCTAAATAAACTTTTCCTTCCTTCATTTGGGTGTTGGATATTTGTCCCAGCAACGAGAGAAGAGTAACTGAGTCAAGGGGTTATACTAAGGTCCTTTAGAGATGATGTCTTATTAACTTTATATCCTTAGCGTTTAGTATATTGAGTGAATGGTTAGCAGAGTTTGTAGGATGAGTGGCTGAGTGAATGAGTGATCAAATTGTTTTTTTTTATAGCAGTGGTTTTTATTCCTATAATGATTCCCTGGCTCTGTACTCAGATTCTTAATCAGGGCACACACACCCTTTCTTTTTACGTTTTTACTTTTTAGTTTTTAAGTATATTATTCATATGGAATTTATCTATATAAACTATATTTCTTAGTAACTATATAACTATGTTGAAGTAGAAACTACTATTACTAAGTAGACACTCCAATATACTATCATCCAGATCAAGAAACAGAAAATTGTGGTTTTCTGGAATTCTTCCTCTTTCCCCATTCTGGTCACTTTGCTCTTTATTGCTTAATTGTTACTACTTTCCTAACTTCTAAGAGCATTCATTAATTTAGGACAATATTTTATAAGAGCTCTCCAAATACTCTAAATGTGGGCCAACCAAACAGCTCAGCAGATTAAAGCACCTGCAAGCAGGCACAGGGCCCAGGGATTCGATCCCCAGGCCTGCTGTGCCGGCCCCACTCCCTAGGGCACACTGAAACAGCAATTGAGACCGAGCATGGTGGCGCAAGCCTATAATCCCACCACTTGGGAAGCTGTAAACAGGAGAATCACTATGAGTCCGATCTAGTAGTGAAACCCTGAACACCCAGTAGACCCTTTCCTAAAATACAGAAAGAAAATAATAATGATAATAATAATAAATACTCTAAAATGTGTATCCATCTGTTACTTCTGAGATACCAAATGATGAAGTGATGACATTTCATAGGTTCATCTCTAATCCTTTTGCAACATAATAGGAATAAGACATTTATATCAACTGAATATGGTTTCATTCTTGAAAAAGAGAGAGGTCAGTTTAATAAGAATCAAGTAATTTTAAAAGAAATAAAATACATTTAAATATACCTAATGTTTTTAAAAGATTTTTGCTGGGAAAAAAATTAAATCAAACTGGGCATGGTGACACATGCCTGTAATCCCAGCGCTTGGGAGTCTGAGGCAAGAGAATCTCTCAGAGTTCAAGACCAGCCTGGGCTACATAGTAAGTTCAAGAACCCTGTCTTAAAAAAAACAAATCAAACAACATATCAGTATCTTTCAAGCTTGTCTGTACATTTGAGTCGCATGAGAGCAGGCTCCATATCTGGCCAGGT